ACCATGATATTTTTATATTTTTTGTTCACGTTTTCAGTTCCAAACGGAATAACATGCGCCAACGTCAGATGTCCTGGCGGTTACTGTATGCCGACAGGACACCATCAACTGTGTTCGAGCTCCTTGTCCTCAACCTAGGCCGAGATGCGTCCCGACGGGTTCGCCTTTTCTGTTGTCTTACTGTTCAGTGAACGTTTTGTTTACCTTTGTTATAGTGCTTCTGTCTTGCGTAACGAATGGCAGGATGATTTGGCCTATATTAGAACTCTGGGTAAAGAGGTCAGACTTCTTGCATGACAATGCGGGCGATGTGACTTACTTTGAGCACCTCCAGCTAACTCTTACCGTTCTTCGAGTTTTTTTATGAGGACATCTTTTGCCCACAACAGAACAATTTCTGCGCATTAGAATCAGGTTCAAGGGCTGAAACGTTTCGAGCGATAAAACAAAAGGCAAAACGGAGTAAGATCACAAGGTTTAAGGAGACTTCCAAAATGAAAATTTCTGAAGCCTTATCTTATGACTTTGAGGCTTCTTCAGGACTGCCATTGGGTATTGTGTCACAATTGTGCTTCAACAGCGATGCTTGGGATCAGCAGTATGTGAGGGAAACGTGTATGGGGGAATACATGTGGGGAAACAAGTAATACTATCACCCGTGTAATTTATGAGCAAACTGGGTCGCCAATCTATCAAATCAAAACGATCCGCATTCCGCGCTGATTGTAGGAGTGGAGTCGGACTCATAATACAATATATGTGGGATGGACGGTGTAGAAAAGGAGTGGAGGAATCGTACTAGAAAGGAAATGTTGAAGGCACGGTCGTATTTCTGCAAACATTTTCCCGAACGGCAGAGCGTGCCCTTTTCGTAAAGTAGGAACTTTGCCAACCTCTTTACCGCTGCATGAGTGCAGCTCTATTCTCTGATAAATAGATGGCGGGCCAGTGGAAGGCCCAACAGTAGAATCACACCCATTACCACATGTCGGATACTGCCGTAGTTTTCCTATAAGTCTTTGTCCTGGATGACCAATAAAAATAATATTTTCTGAAATATTGTGCTGGTTAGACAGCCACAATCGGGCAAGCTACTGCCCTAAGTGCCATCGCTGACCGTATGGAAGAAGCCAAGCCTAGCGATTTGTCTTCATTAGAGCGTCTCTTCTTCTCAAGGCATGAATAAGAGGGGTACTTCAATAAGTTCTATCACTTGTCTAACGACTTGTTTAGAGCCTAACCCCGTCTTCTGCACATTTAGTTACACTAACATCTCTTAAGTTCCTAACTTTACTAACACCTTTACAAACGTTGTGGGTGGGCTGAGGGATCTGCCCATTTGTGCCGTGAGCAAACTCGCTGTGTGCCTACTAGCTTCACCTTCAGCACCATCAGCAACCATCAAAGGTTCTAAGGGGTTTTGGCACTTCGTTGTTTCCACTGGTGTCAAAGCCCGTGCACTGCACACTAATATTTCAGGACCTGTTCTGCCACTGTGTTCCCAGTTTAATTGCGTCCCAGGCACCAGATGCCCAATTCCTTGTCGGCCAGATAATTCTACTACATCCACGTCGTCTAACTCCACAGGTCCACATTAGAACTTAACACTGCACCAGCACCATGAGATGCTTTGTTTCACGTTTTCAGTTTCAAACGGACTAACATGCGCCAACGTCAGATGTCGTGACGGTTATGAGTGCCGACAGGACACCATCAACTGTATTCGAGCTCCTTGTCCTCAACCTAGGCCGAGATGCGTCCCAACGGGTTCGCCTTTTCTGTTATCTCCACTGTTCACTGCAACCTTGTTTACCTTTGTTTCACACTTACAGTGTTGTTGTCCTACATAATGAGTCATAGGGTGATCTGGCCTTGATTAGGCCTCCGGGTTCAGAGGTACAGCTTCCTACAGGACAACGTGGACGCTTGTGATTTACTCTGGGTCAGGGCTCTTCCTGTCAGTGGCGGAAATTTCTGCAGAGTACGACCCACCCTGATTTCCTCTTCTGGTACAACCATCAACTAAGCCCAGCTACCGAAACCAGTAGTTGTATGACACTTTCGCTGTGCCGCCAAGTAGGAACCATGTGTAAAACTGTTGTATAATCTTTACATATTCAATTTTTGGGGTTTCCTTATTTCAAAAAAGCACTCTGGTTTCCGTTTCGCACGTGCCCTTATTAGACGGAAACTAGACGACTGAGCCGTACGGAAGCGTGAGGGGACTATAGCTTCACCTCAAATGCCTCAATGGGAATAAAGATGGCTAGTATAAGACACCTTTGCATAGCCCCTTGGTTTCCTGTTTAAAACCTCGCTGGCAACTTCGCTTAAGACCCACACTGTATCTCTGGAAGGCTTATCGTTTTATCCCAATAATATGCCTATCCCATTTCTTAGCCACTTTCCTTAGATTTTCAATGAATTTCTTCGCCCAGAGATGGCAAATTGGACGAATTTTTCTAGAATAGAGCACGTTTTGGACTGCACGCGACTAAACCCGATCTGGCAGGCAACTTTACTGAGACCGTAATCGTTGATCGTATGGGCGGAAGCAGGCCTAACAAGCTGCCCTTACTACAGCGCCCTCCCTCCCGAGATAGTGAATGAGATGGATGCTCTCATAGGGAAAGCACATTGGTAGAAAATGCTTCTCGCGCTCTGTTAGCATGGAAAGTGTCTCCAAGATGGGTCAGGACTACGATCTGATCTGAATCGGAAGCTTTGGTTCCACTACGTATGGAACTCCAGTTTCTCGGGAGTTGCTAAAGCTTACATTCGTTGCAGGAGGCTCTACCAGTGAAACTTGTCCTGCCAATGAAGAATACAAGACGTGTGGCACTGCGTGTGAACCATCTTGTAGTAATCCTAGGCCGGTAGGCTACTCTATCTTTGGAAATCACCTACTTTTCCTGCATCAATCAAGGAATAATTTAGGAAATTTGTACCGAACAATGTGTCGTGGGATGTCAATGCAGACAGGGATTCTACCGTAATGCTCAAAATGTCTGTGTGTCTAACTGCTCTGGTGGTAGGTTCTTTAACTATTTTGCTTTACCCGTCTGGAAGTTTTCTGCGTGGGAAGAAACTCAGCATCATTACGAGTATCTTCTAAATTGATAGAGCAGTGTGACTGAGCTGCAACGATGAACGGAAATCGTGGAGCCGCTTGTGAACCAACCTGTTCAGGGCCCATTCCGTTTTTTTTTGCATGTTCTGTTATACTTGCATTTTGCGTT